AGCTAGGCACCGAAAGGGTGCTACAGATGAACGTGTCACTGGTCGCAGTGTACAAAAACACCACCTGAATGGTGCTCCTATGACACTTTATTTTCGTGATGCTGTGCGGTTTGAGTGAAAGTTCTGTATGAACAAGACATTCACGCCACCGTCAGTTCAGAGTGCAGGTCTTCACGAATTGCGTATTCCATGATACACCCCACCATGTATCGGACACGTTTTTATGATGGCTTGTATATTCATGACTTCGACAGACTTCGACGAATCTGAAACATCATCGCTAAGTGAACTCACGACAAAGTCAGTCATCACCTGGGCCAACTGTTGGGAAGCTACAACGATTCTCGCTTTCAGAAATGTTTAAGGCATCCACTGAAGCCACTGATGGCATTGTGTGCATTAATTGTTTGTTGAGGAGTAAAGTCGGGCTTGTTGCGAAAGTTTGCGAATCATCCTCGATCTTCGTGATGATTGAGAATCATATACTAGGAATGCGGCCAGCCAGGGCCATTCTAGCAGTTGATTATTTGCGCGCTATCTACGGAGATGAGACGGGCACTCACTGCACTTACTCAGAGGATGTAGAGGGGATGGGGATAGGAACGGTTACGACTGGAGTAACACCATGGTTTCTGAGGAGTACAAGCGGGGTGAGTGAAGGGAGGAACAGGAAAGTTGGAGCAAGGAAAGTTGATTAAAGTTGAACCTTTACAAGCACCAAAAACATAGATTTTCTGACCGTTTCAAAACACTATGGGCCAGCAACGAATGAAATCTTTACAGTCGTATTCGACCTACCCTTTAACGGGCCCTCCGTGAAAAACAACAACTCCAATTAAAGCCATTCTACCGCGAGCTCTGTCCGAAGTATAAATCTTTGGAGAGACCACTCCACACAGTGACTTCTGTAGGCATCTCTGAGTCTCATTTGCTATTTAGGCAAAGATCAGAATTCAAGCTTCATATTCTGAGTTTCCTAGCATCAATCGGGCTGTTATGCACCCAGAGCACACACAAACTTCCTCGCACTACTAACAATCTATGAGTAGCTCAGTGAAAGAATAAACTTCACTCGTTAAGTTAAACTTCCATCTACGAAGTCGTTGTTCGAGAAGCCAGTCAACACGTGTGGCCGCTTGATGTGGATCCCGTGATCGAAGGATGAGCGACGCTAAATCTTGTCAAAGTGCGAGTTACTCACGCCGTTGATCAGCTGCCCGCGGCTGAACGGTTAAATGTTCAAACTACTAGCCAGGAGGTCGCGGGTTCAAGGCTCGCCGGAGTTTTGTGAGATGCGCACTGATGATGATCCCAATAAGGATGAAACAGCTGTACAGTGCCTCTGGGCTTTCCAGCGCAGATCGGCTTCACTTACAGGACGAAATCTCCATATAAAAACACAAGTTCGTTTCCAAAGTAGTGGGTGTTTTCTGACCTGAACTCCAACTACCACGATAACGCTACAAAAAATAGTTTATATTTCCTCTATGAAGACCACATTTTAGATTATGCCGGTAACTAATGGCTCTCAGAGTAGTTACATCCCTCTTACAATAGTCCCACCAAGGACATGCCTCGTGTTTTATGCAATTGTGACAACTTCAATACCTGGTACTCTTGTATAAGTACAATTTAAAAATATCGATCTGTAGTGCTGTGTTTCAAGAGTATCCCTGTAAAGCAACAACATATTGCGATTGCCATCAAAAGTTGAGGGTTTGCTTAAATCCGGTTCCTCTTGGATTGCTATATTTTTTCTCAAAGATTCTAACTAACTCACACCTTGTTAATTGTTTGTTTTTCATTGGGTGAATACTCGGTTGGACTCTCATCATATGTTCCTTCAAATTACGTTCAGTCTCAACAATGAAATGTATCACTGAATCGCTCTTTCTTTGTCTCCCATAAAACCCGCCCCAGAAACGTGATTGGTGCTTTCGCATGAAAACAACGACTTTGTCTATCAAATTTCTCAATTAAAAATTGTACCTTCAACTTGCTTTCTTATCAAACATATAGTAATGGGGCAAGTTTAGAAGCAAGGTCATCTTAAAAAGGACACCAGGCAAATATGAGACATCCTGCTAAGTTAATATCCTTTTTCGCAGGATTAAAAGCGCTTAAGACCGAAATGCGAAGTCCTTCTAACTGGACCAGATGTCATTACTGTGAGTTTGAAAACCCCCTATTCAGTAGCCGAATTTATCATGTTGGGGGAGCGTTATTAAACCGTCACCTTAATGGTGTTCGCATAAGATCTACGAGGGACTGAAAACTGAAAACACTCAGTCATTACACCCTTCACTTTGTTGATGTTTGATGGCGGACCTTGGGTTTCAGCATAATGATGCGGCAGTAAACA